TAAGCTCTAGGGAATCACTTATTTGTATCAAAAGTCACAATTAATATAAAAATGACTTAAAGGTAAGGGGTTAAAATTGGATATTTGCTCTCATTTCCAGTTTGATAATATATAGGATATAATAGAATATGCCAGAAGGAACAATTCATTTCTAAACCAATAGTTTAAATAATTCTACCTACAGTAAGAATTAGTTTAAGGTGATTTAAAAAAAATTAAGAGGGCCACAGGTTCTGTAATCCTAGAATTCAGGAAGTTGGGACAGGAGGAGCAGAATTTGAGGCCCTCATGTGCTATAGAATAAATTCAATTGGTTGTTTCTAGATGGAGGGAAATGAGGAAATGTCTGATGAGTACAGTTTTTAGCTGAGAAAATGAAATGACTCCAGATGGTTGAGCATGTAGCTCAGTAAAAGGACACTTGCCTAGCACATGTGGGGTCTTGGTTTCAATCCCCAGCACCCCACAACACACACACCCACACACACACACACACACACACACACACACCCACCCACACACACACACTCAAACATGAGTGTACCACTCACTCCCCCCCACTCTGCTCACACACAGCAGCTCTGGGTCTGGAGATGCATTAGTGGCTACAAATAAACAATGTGGTTATATTTATAATGACAATTAACTGTATATTTAAAAATGGTAATTATGTCGAATTTTAAATATATTTTTACAGTAAAAATCTTTAATGCCATTACTCTTTGGAAAAAACTACATGAAACAAGAATGTATTACTTGTTATAAGTGCTTGTTCATCTAAGCCAATAGTAAAAATCCTAAAGCAAGGACATTAAAATAAGCATTCAATTAGATTAAGTGACCCATTAACATAACAAAATCACTCTATTACTATAGATAGCCCTGATCTATGCCAGGAGACCATGCTTATTAAAAGAATCCTACAAACATATGTGTATATTATATAAACAAACACACACACACACACACACAGATAGATAGATAGATAGATAGATAGATAGATAGATAGATAGATAGATAGATAGATATCACAGCATATAAACACATGTATGCACTTATGGCCAAGCCAAAAATTCATTCATATCCCTATATTGTTATCAGTCAAATAGTAAAACTGACTGTAGTAGAGTCCATTCATAAGGCAGAACTGAAAACCACTTTACTGTAGAATCAAATAGATTTGCACGGTACCTAAAGATATAGAAATTACTGTGGGGTTAGGGCATCTACTTTTCTTGCCCTACCTGTCCCACTCCCAACCCACACACTGCCTCTTATCCCATGAAACAGATTTCCGTGTGCTTACCACAAGTCCCAGTACAAGGGTGCGAACTCTTTCTCCAATCTCTGGTGAAATGTCATTGCCAAACTGCTGCAGGGTAGTAAGAAATCGTTTCAGCTTGCTGAGTTGCCTAGCACCACAGGCTGGGGGCAGCTGTTGATTAGCCAGAGAAGAGGAAGAGGAAGAGGAAGGCCCATTGCTAAAGCCATTAGGCGGTGAGGGGGCGCCATTCAAGGCCGTAGGTGAATGGCTCGTGCCATTGGTTACTGTCAAGGCCACAAAACGAAAAGAGAAAAGTAAATAAATGAACAAAGAGAATAAATAACGGAACTGCCACTAAGAGTCCCTGCCCTGAAATCTAGTGGTTGTGTAATTTCAAAACTATTGGGACATTTGGCAAACTGCTTGGACATCACAGAAGCACCACACTCAGGCACTCTGTGAGCTCAGAGTCTCCTCCTCACAGTGAGGGGCAGCCTGATGCACAGAAGCTGATAATAAATGGAGCCTGGAGCCTGCTGCTGCACAGAGACAGCCCTGCCTCCCATGTGCACATATGCCAGCCACCTGAAATGCTTCAAACAGAGCACAAACAGCTTTGGATGTCAGCCTTTGTCACAGGCTCATATCAACAAAACAAGACTGTTTCTCCCTAAACTGCTCCCCTAGAGAAAGTGTACATTTGGTGGGGACTAAATTTATCACTGAGCATTTTTAATCATGTTTTGTACACACAACTGACAGCTGTGTTTATAGGAAGAGGACTTTCAAGTTTTAACCTTATACCACCCAATTAGAAGGCTATTTTCTTTCCCTCTTATTTCTTAACCATTTATTTAGGGGGAAATGTAAGTTTTACATAGGAAGATAGGAAGAAAAAATGGGTTGGGATTTACTAAGGAGTTATTTTAAGAAAGTGAAAGGGGACAGCT